CGGTTATTACCATTATGAAGATGCTGATGATAGGCCACGACGATAATGAATGGCGGAGCGGACTTGCAAAAGGGCAAATAACGGTGTAAATGAAAATGTTTCTACTTGAGGCCGGGCTCTCTCGCTCTTTTCCGACCACATGCGGCTGCTTTGTGCCACACAAATGATTCCCCGAGCGTGTCCCAGCGAGTGTCTGTGTGTGTGTGTGTGTGGAAATTGCTCATTAAAATATTGAAAACCGATTTGCACAGACTTAGATATTCTCTGGCTAGCCCATATCTGCACGTGGCACTCTCTTGGGGGGGTGGGGATTATACAATGCAGTACAGTGGGTCAAGAAAGTACTGCTACAGTTGAATAAATGATGTAATTATTTTATCTCTTGATTGAAGGTCTTCAGGGCTTCCACTTGCCTTGCTAGACCACAATTGAGGAAACACTTTCCCTTTCCCTGGTGTAAACACTTTTCTGAGCCCCTGTTTGGCAGAGCTTAAATCATTTTGGAGCCGTTGCGATCATAAATAATGCAAAATGTTCTCAAACAATTGTTTGAGTGGATGTGGGCCTGGGGCATGTGGGTGGCAGCCACCAGCCATAAACAAGTTGGTCCCAAACAATGCCTGCAACTGGTAGAATGAATCGGGCAAACACAATAAATAATTGAAGCCAGCGTCGAGTCAACAAGCAAAAGACAAGACATGGCAGCAACCCTGGCTGTGGCTATTGCTGTGTTGGTTCTGGTTGCTGCCAGGTGGTTTTGGCCAAGCCACAAAGTCCAACGATCTAGATATAAATCATTACGGCCAGGCACATGCAGAAAATGTTAAATGTTTCCATTGGGAAAGAGGGCGGGCCGCATCATCCATCAAAGCCGAACAGAGTTCGAGAGGTATCCCACAGTGATCCCCCCGGAGAGGATCTTAGATGTTTGATTGTTTTCTGCACTGCAGGCTTTGGGGCCTGGGCATGGAGTTGGCTTTAAGTGGAACAAGTTTATTGGCCAAATTAAACGATTGCCATGAGAATTACATCATGCAGCAGCAACAACAGAGCGCAGAACCAATTGATAATTCCCAGTTTTCCCTGGCTGCAGCTCGCAGATGAGAGTGGAAAACTCTGGCTGAAATGTTTAAATAATTTAAAAATAGTTTTATCTTGGGCTGGAACTGGAGCTGGACCTGCGGCTTGGGCCTGGGCCTGTCCAAGATCGTACGTATAGAAAGCAAAAGTAGACGCTCGAAGCGAAAGAGTACGAAACTGGTAAAACGACTCGGCGGCAGCAACGATAGCCACGACCCATACCACTGACAGTACGAGTACCAATACCAATACCACTACCAATACCAACTCCGGCCACAAAGTTGACTTATTGGAGCACTTAGCTCGATTCTTGTTATTGTTACTGTTACTGTTAACACTCGTAATACCAACACAATTACAGAGGTAGCAACAGCAGCAGCAGCAGCAGCAGCAATAGCAGCAGCAGGGGCTTGGAGTGTCTAGGCGGAGCCGCCGAGAGTCGAGGCGGCAGCAGTCCAAGGTTTCTGCTGCCCCGACCGCCGATCGGACTATAAAAAGCTTGGGCGGCGCCGTTGCGGAAGGCAGTTTATTCAATAAATCGGTTGTCGTCGGTCCAAGTCCAGTCCCACACCCGAGTCCAAGTCCACACCCCTCCTTGCTAACGGACAGCAACGTGTAAAGGCGCGAGTGATACCCCCCGTTCTCCGAAGAGAGCCAAAGAGATATCTAGAGTGCAGTTTACGCCGTAGCTTACCAAGGATACACACAAACAGAGCCCCCAAAAACAAATTTAACAGAATGTTTCGCTTTGTGAGTTTTGATTGATTGATTGATTGAGAGGAGAGTGTGTTTTGTTCGTGAGATGCTTATGAGAAATTTTTGACAGCTCGCCCTGACCACCCTGGTGGCCCTGGCTGCCAGCCAGAACAACTACCACCAGGACTCGAAGACGGCGGCCATCATCAGCGAGCAGCGCTACCTGTCCGGCGACGGCAAATTCGGGGCCGCCTACGAGCAGGAGGATGGGATCAAGTTCAAGGAGGAAACCGATGCCGATGGCACCCGCCACGGCAGCTACAGCTACGTGGATCCCTCCGGACAGCTTCGCACCATCTCCTACACGGCGGGCAAGAATGGGTAAGAATCGTAGTATTATTCTTTCGGGGATTCACTCGATCAATCAATCTCTCTCTCTCCCCCGGAACAGCTTCCAGGCCTCCGGCGACCATCTGCCCCAGGCGCCGCCCGCACCACCACAGCCCGTGCCCACCGCTGGATACCAGCCGCAGCCACAGTACCAGCCCCAGCAGCAGCAGCAGCAGTACCAGGCGCCCGCACCCCAGCACCAGCCCTCGTTCCGCAGCAACGACTACGATGATGGGTCGTACGATCCCCGCTATAACGATCCCAGCTTCGGCCAGAACCAGCAGACTTATCATCAGCCGGCTGCTCAGCCGCAGTACCGCTCCGCCCCGCAGCCCGCCTACAATCCGGCCCCACAGCAGACGTACCACCAGCCTGCCCCACAGCCGCAGTACCACCAGCCGCAGCAGCAGCAGCCCCAGCAGCCGGCGTATTACACCACGACCACGCCCAACCCCCATCGCTTCTCGCCGCCCGGCAAGCTCTCCCTGAGCCGCACGCCAGACGGCTTCACCTACTCCTTCAACAAGGTCTAAGGGATCCAAGAAGACCTAGAGATAGTTATAGATGTTGCATCTTCTTCATTACTCTTCTCTTCTCTCTCTCTCTCTGTCCCCTAACACGCCCTCTTCCGCCACAACTAGATCCCCTGATTCCCCCCGTTCTTATTCTTGACTTCATCAAAACTCTTGTGTGATATGTTTAAGAGCAAATTGTAAACTATGTGTCGTACTTCCTATACTCGTGTGCGTACGAGCCGCTCTTCGTTCGTTTGTTTGCAGCAACTCATAATCCTCCTCAGACCCGATTCCAGCTCTAATTCTAACTCCAATCGAAGCTGTCTAAATGTAAGGCGAAGCAAATAAACTTGTTGCGGTTCGCAGATGTTGAATCCAAATCCGAAATTAAATATTCTGGGCCTTGGGACTTTTGAGCAATTTGTTTAGAGTACATACATACATATGTAGATATGTAAGCGCAATATACGATACTGATGTTGATTGAATCTTAATCCTGTTCGTTTCTTGAGTCTTTTGTTCAATTATTTTTAGCAGATTTATCTAAACACCTCCGGCAGTCAACGCCCACTCCCCAGAGCCAGTCCGGGTCCCAGTGCCACCCCCACTGACTGCGTTACACAACCAACTTTCGTGCATGCAAAACGGGTTCCAATCCCAGTTTCGGTCTCGGTTTCTGTTGCGATTCTATGCCAGCAGCGGCCAACAAGGAAAGGCTTTTGGAAACTGGTTTTGCCCATTTGACAGTAATCTTGGCCAATTGTGCAAAATTCCAATGAAAATGAAATCAACTTGGCGCCTGTCCCCACACCGCTGGGCTGGGCCGATGCTGATCCGGAAAACTATGCTCAGTCGGGGCGGGGGTACTAAGTAGAAGCAAATCAATGACTAATTCCAGTTCGATTTGTCCAGACCACAGTGTTCGATTTAGCCTGGCCTAATCACACCCACGAGCCACACCGATGGAGGGTAGTGCCAGAGCTTAAACTTACTTTCCACATCCATTGTTAGGCATTCTTTTGCACCACTTCGAGTGTTAGCTCCACTGGCTACAGCAGCTTTCAAGGTCAGTTTTGTTGTGGACTGGTGTCCGGCTCTGGTTCGATTGGATTGGCTTTTGCCTCTGGCCTGGGCCTGGCTCTGGCTTGGCTTCTGTTGAAATTGCTCAGTCAATTAAGAAAATCAATTTGGTTTCGTTTCTTATTGTATTTTATGGATTGTTTTTGTTTTTGCTATTTTTTGCACCCACTTTTGTGGCAATCGCAATCGCGTGGACTCATACTTAGACTCAGACTCGGAATCGCTTGCTCAATTGCGGATTTTCGTTCGGCTTTTGCGAAAGAGGTAAAAGTCAAGAATGTGCTGGTATCGCATCGGAACAGGTGTGTGCAAGGTGTGCTATGGAAGGGACGGGGCTTTTGTATGGCTACTTCATTATGCACTCGTAATTTGAATTAATTGATTCACTCTGAAAATGCTGTTGGTTGCTGCTCTGATTATGGCTGCTGTGGTGTGAAGAGCTCAATCATTTGATCAATTAAGTGACAAAGTGCTTTGACTTTTATTCTAATTGGCAATTAATCTGAATTTTTTATTCAGTGGAGACTCCTCTAAAGTTGGGCGACCTCGCTTTAGAAACGGGATAAACATTAATATATTTTAGCAATTTTATCGTACCCCTGAAAATTGATTTAAAGTTTTATATTTAAATTTTAATTTTTAAATTTTATTTATTTATTTTATTACACTCTTACGTTCAATCAACCCTTTCAACCCTCGTAAAGTGTATCAGGAGGACCGGTTATCAGGTTGAAGTTATGGCACATTTACAGTTATAGCGTGTAGCTCAGTGCTGCCACTATGTTAAAATGAGCAAAAACACACCGCAAGCGGGATGTAAGTTATACACGAATACCAACAGATGGCGCTGCCAGGATGAAAATTGTATATCGATAATTACATTGATAATTACATTTTTTCATCGATAATTACATTGATGATTACATTTTCACATTTATGCAGCTTGATCTTTTTCTGTCTATCTGGCATCCCGTGCAACAGCTGATTGCTGCCGCTTGATCTTTTTCTGTCTATCTGGCATCCCGTGCAACAGCTAATTAATTAAAGGGAATTTCAACTTTAAAAGAAACGTTCGTAATGTCAGCATAGTCTGAAATTTACAATTAATTTGCCTTTGGAAACTGTTCTTACACCCAGGCTTACACATTTTTCCCTCACTTCGATGTTGGTCACGTGCTCCGTCCTGCACGTGAACCAAGAATGACAGTAATTGACTGAACGAGAGATTCAATAAAATAAATGGTCTTTTATTATGTACAGCCCTACATATAAGTATGTATTACAACTAATCTACGTGGAGTAGAGTATCTTTAGGACTAACTGCTGCCCTACCGCAGCTCTCTACACGTTGATGACCAGTGCCGTTGATCTGTACTTCCGCTTGGGCTTGTTGAACGGCTTCGAATTGGGCGCCCGTTTCAGATCTCCGCTGGGTGGACGTCGGCGGGAGCGCGTGCCCTTGGGCGGCGGAGGTGGTGGGTGCTCGACGTACTTGCTGCGCAGGGGGCCGGGGCCGGAGAAGTTGGGTGGCGGGTAGGACTCAAAGTCCTCTATGTCGAGATCGGGCCTGGACTCCTGCTCGTGCTCGTGCGCCTGCGCCTTGAGGAACTTCTGCAGCTTGGGGTTGCTGAGCAGCTGCAGCTTTATGGCGTCATCGAGCAGCTTCTGCTGGTCCTCGATGTAGGCTTCGATCTGTTTCTTGGAGGCCACGTTCTTGTAGCGGTCGTGGTTCTTGGGCTGCGGCACGGGCACGGGCACCACCTCGTAGTCATCGTGATCCGGCTCGAAGACTCTGTAGGAGTTGCTGCTGTAGGAGGCCGTGCCCTTGGGCGGTGGCACCAGGTGGAATGGATCTGGCTCTGGCTCGTACTGCACCGGAGTCCACTTGGAGCGCTTGGGTGGGGACACATCCTCACCAGATCCCACGTGCCCCTCGGATGGGTAGCCTCCGCCGCTCTTGTATGGAATGGCGGTCACGTACTTGGGCTGCTTGGCGTAGCTGGAGATGGGGGCGGCCTTTTTGGGGACGGTGATGGGATGCTGGACGCGTATCTGGGTGCCGATGGTGTACTCGCGACTGTCTTGGACCGACGACTCTCCTGAGTATTCGGCCGAGTTGTAGCGCTCTCCGGAATAGTCATCTTCCTCCTGGCAGAAGGTCGTTTGAGTTGGGGGCTTGGGCTACACACACCGACAACGGGCAGTACTCACCGATCCGTAGGGCCTGTAGTGGGATTTCTTGGGATACTTCTTGGTCACATCCCGGCGCTTGCTCTCGTTGGTCTGCAGGTCGGAGCGCAGGTAGCCGGAGGGCGCCAGTCGTATGGGGCCTGGCACTGATCCCGAGCCCTGGCCGGATCCCGGGGCCAGTGCGCTGTAGTAGCTCCTGCGGTAGAAGGACCTCGCCGGTCTCAGGCCAGAGGCGGTCGCGACCAGCAGCAGCATCGCCACAGCCAAGAACTGTAATGACTAAGGTTTATCCTGATCCTCGTTTAGACTCGATTGCCGCTTACATTCCAGTACAGACGCATTGCTAGTGTGGGAGGGCGTAGGGGGTTCGTTCCGATTTAGGCTTCACTCGGGGACCTGTGTCTCTGCAACGTATTATCGAATCAACCACCAGCGTGGCCCCAACGAAACTGAAAGTTTGCACAATGAACGCAACAGTTTTATGGGAGCTTCCTCCTCATCGAATCTCCGACTGCGACTGCGACTGGGACTGCGACTGCGACTCGAACCTGCCGCAACGGCAACATGTTTTGCAATTGAAACCTGCCGGGGCAGGCCGCCGACCAACAGATTGAAATCTCTGTCCGTTTGTCTGTGCTTCACGCATGGACTTGTTGCAACTTGGAGGAAGCCAGAGTCCAAGCCATAGCCACAAACCAGAGTCAGAGTTGGAGCCAGAGCCAGGCCTGAAGCCGTGGCTGAAACTGAAGCATCATTTGCATTTCCAGTAGGAAATAGAGCGCATGCGCAGCAGAGGGGCATAAATAAAATGTTTCTTTATGGCTGTAATTACGAATAACGATGGCGATTTGGCACGTTGAAGTGGGCTGGGGCTGGGTTGGGGCTGGGGCTGGGCTGGGGCTGGGCTTGGGTTAAATGGTTTTCGTTTTTTGTGACTCAATAAGAAAGTAGACAAATTAGCTGGAAGCCAAACCTCCCGCCCTATCGGCGCTTCTTCATCAGCACTGTCTGGAGAACGGGTTTCCATTACTTAGTAGTTAGTGACCCCGGACTCTAGCATCTCTTACTCAATGGATGTTACGTGCTCCCCCCTGGCTTGGCACCAAGTTCAGGTTCAGCCGGGGCCAAAACGAAAAAACGAAAGAGCCAGGAAATGTTAGCCAGCTGCTGCTGCCACTGGAGGTGGATGTGGATGTGGATATGGCCTTTTTTGCTGGCACGCTTGGACTACTTTCTATGGCAGGATGCGCGCTCGAAATGCGGAAGATGCAGAGACGTTTTCTGCTTTTTCTGGTTGTCTGGCGGTAGGTGGAAGTGGAATTGGAAATGGACGTGGATGTGGATATGGATATGGACATATTCGCGTACTGGGACTTCACTTTGGTCCATTGCATAACATTTCATCCCGCTTCATTTGCACAATTATTTACACGCTTATCCTGTCTGTGTGTCCGCCTGTCTATAACTCAGCCGACTCAGGCCGACATTCCCAGGGAAGATTGAGACTGCCATCAAATTAAAACAATTAAAGCGATGCCCCCTAATTAAATGCGAGTCCAATGCCGCATTGATTGATTGATTGGGGGTAGGGGCTTTGCAGCATGGCATGCATAATTATGCAACAAGCGGCAGCAATTGCAGCTCGTTTGCGGGCTGGACATTGGGTGCCACAGCCCACCCGAACCCACTCTGGCTCTCTGGCCAAGGTCAAGCTCAAGTTCAAAACGCGTGACAATTACTTTGGCAGACACTGCCTCTGCCACTGCCACTGCCACCAATCGCCCCGCATAATTTCCGTTTTCCTCGTGAACAAATCAAAAGTGGACTTGGACGTGGTCTGGGGTCTGTGGCTGCTTTCCGCTCGAGTCTTAACAATGCCAAGCCACAAACGGTTTTTGCTTTTCATGGAAATGTCTTGTGAAATTTTGTGAAAGGAGTTAGTTGGCTGGAGGAGTGCCAGATGGGGTTGGGCATCAGCAGGTGGGCAGCCCCGAGCAATGACTTGCCTGAAATTGAAATGAGATCTGAACGATCGCTCCCATATAAAGGCGCTCAATTATCCGCCGAACTGGGCCTGATTGAGCGTTGCCCAATTGCCGATTCGATATGCATTGGGTTATACATCAGTTTATTAGCATATATTTCCATTATTAACTAAGTTAATACATCTGGGCACCGCAGCGAGCTGCTGCTCATAAATTAGTCAAGATCAAGGTTGGTTCGTGCACTGATTCCGCTGTGGGTGAAGTCAAAGTTTAGCAGATGATCGTAAATGTAGTACCCTGCCCCTGCCATCAGCGAACTGACATAAGCATTCCACGCTCTCTTCCCACTCTCTCTCTCTCTCTGTCACTCTCTCTCTGTTTTTGTCAGTCTGGCAATCCCACGCTGATCCGCTGCCGGGCCGAGCTTCGGCGTGCCTGCGAATCGGCAGACGACGACTGGGTGCCCACAATGAGAGCGTCGCCGTTGAAGCAGAGGCTGCTCCGCAGGTGTTTGCGTGGGTCGGGGGATACCGCCTCATCCCCCGTCTCCGCCTCTGGCGATGATTTCGGCAAGATTTTCCGTGTGCTGGAGCTGCTGGCAGAGTGGTTATTATTGTGTGTATGTATGCTCTTATTATAATTATTTAATGGCTTCGTGCGACTAGTTTCCATATACGATCGCTGCTCTGACTGTTCCCGACTTCCGGTCGGCGTGTTTGGCTGCTGACGGCGACCCTCTGTTGGCGGCAGTGGTGCCTCATCTCTGTCTCTGTCCCTGTCCCTGTCATCATAGTAGGCATACTCATCGGCCTCCTCGTTGTAGGTGACATGTTTCTTTCGCAGCCCAGGACTGCGCAGCTGCAGCCGACGGAGTCCGCTGTCCATCCAGTCCAGATCCTCGGCCGGAGACTGCTTGAGTATTCGCTTGGGCCCTGGCCCAAGTGGCAGTGGCAGGACGGGGCGACGCCGGCTTTCCGGCTGCCACTCGTGACGGCTGTCGTTCAGCGGCTTCTTTGTGACCTTCGGCTCCACCTCCACGCTGAGGCTGCGCACATTCCGCTTCACCTGGAGCTTGGGGCTGTTCTTGGAGTTGAGCTCCACCTCGCGTTTGTCGTTCATGTCCATTTTGGGCCGCCTGGCGTTGTTCTGGGTGGGCGTGTGGCAGTCGTCTTGGTTGACGTAATCGTAGAACTGGATCTTGGAGCTGTACGCCTGCTTGCGCCGCTCACCGGTGGTGTCCTCTTCCGGGTGGGCACTTAGCAACGGCAGGTTGCCCCTGTAGGGCGAAACCTCTGTCAGCTTTGGGGTCACCTCCTGGCGCATGCCGCGCCTTACCGAGGGACGGTTATCCCTGCTCGGCTGCAGGTTGTCGTAGAACTCGATGGAGGAGCTGGCGAATTCCTTGTGGAACATGCGGCGAGTGTCCACATCGGGTGCCGCATTCTGTGTGGAAGGGAGCCTGGATGCCTGGATGGCGGAGCCTTGGCCCGGTCGCGACGGCTCCAGCTGGAGGCTGTTGCGTCGCTTCACCCGCGTCTCGACCGCCGAGTCGAGCTGGGAGTCGTCCGGCCAGAAGAAGTGCGACTCCTGGCGGTCATACACCTTGGCCCCCCGCCGCTCCACCATCTTCGGGGGCAGGCCCGTGTAGAACTTTCCGTTCAGCATGGTTCGCTCGCGGGGTCACGTCACACGTCAACTGATTGGCAACCGATCCGGAGACCGACTGACACAAAGAATCCGACTGGGGCCTCCAGCCACTCCACTTGCTCGTGGAGACGTTGGCGTCGCCATTCGCATCTGTCGTAGGCGTTCGAGTTCGTTTTCGGTTTCGGTTTTCGAGTTTGTTCAGGTGATCGTTGATCGGTGATCAGTGCTGAATGCTGCGGCTCTCAGACTAATTTGCGATTCTTGCGAAAAACAACCAAAGAAACACTTGTAAAAAGCAAACACAAACAGCATTCGAGGCAGAATTTACGAACATTTGCTGCGACTGCTACTGCGATTGCGACTGCGACGCCTGCTGCGACGAGTTTCCATCTAAGGTCACATGGCGGCATTTTTTCCACACTTTTGCAAGCCATCGAAAAGTCGTTTTTCGTGAGCTCAGAACTCAGAGCTTCAGAGCTGACCAAATGTTTGTGTTGGTTCGTGTTGGATTTGTGGCCTCTTTGGGGGCTCGAAACTCTGCCAAAACGAGAATAATCAGCGCCAACAGCTGCCAATTATTGGCTGCCTTAATAGATACGATACACTCTAGAAGTTGGTCAGAAGTGAGAGCGTTGAGCCACTAGGCTGATGCTGTATGACGTTGTATACGTAATGTTACAAGATGCTAGCGATTCCATAAGGTCATAACAAACAAAAGACGAACCCAATGAATCTCATTTAAAGTTCAAAGAAATAAATTTAAAAAGAGAAGGAAAGTCTGAGTCGCTTCTGTGGACGCGACTCTACTTTTATGCCCGTACTCAGTCAGTATATAAATATGTGAGACAGACAGACGGACAGGCTCTTACCACAAATACAATATACCCCTTAAATCTTTTTGAGTACGGGTTTAAGTAAGACAGAAAATTAGAACAACGTAAAACAACATTTGGTATGCACATTCAAACGAGTTTGTGATAACTAAAAGGGTCGCGGGGTGGGGTAAAATGTGCCATAGATTGAGTAAAATGAATTGGTACATTTTTATTTAATTTAATTAAATTTATTTTCGCTTGATCTTTTCACATGGTTGCCATTGAATGCCGAGGGAGGAGATGTGTGTGTGTGTGGGACACTACCAGACTACTTTGTAATAATTCCCCTCCTTTGCTCCATGATTTCTCTCTCTCCCCCTATCTATCTCTATCTCTATTTGTATCTGTATCTTGTTTTAGAAGACGTAAATGTAGTATCGTAATTAGCTTAATGTACAAACAATGCCATAGAAACACATACAATATCATACACGCGGATTACATACGGATAGTTTGTATCTCGATTGGGTTATTCTTGAGGAGGAGCTGCTGTGGATCGAAACGATATTTATCTCAGTGTGGGGGCTGCCTTATGGGTATGGGTATGGGTAATATATGGGTACGGTACGGTACGGTATGGGTGGGGGGATATGTACGGTTGCTTAGACTAGACTCGAGTGAGGCTGTATACATTTTTGATTTGATTTGATCTGACTTGAGTGTGTTTGTGTGTGTGTGAGTGTGACTGGGTAGTGACGTAGTGGAGTGGGCTCTAACTCTGACATTTACAAACTTCTCTCCTGCGGTGCTTTCCTTGGGGTGGAGGAGGGGTCTTTCTTTCTACTTGTATTGTTAAACATATACTTAGGTTCGCTTTTCGGTTGCTTAAGACTCTATTTACAGTTGGTATTTCGAAGCGGCTGGCAGGAAACGCGAATGGGGGACTGGGCGCTGGCCATGGATTCGCCTGTTTACTTTCCCCATGGGTGCCCATGAGCCTTTGCCTTTCTCCAGTTATGAGTCGCTATTAACGGATCGAATCCGTGCCCAGCCCTGCCTCATTCCGTTTATTGCTGCTGTTGTTGCAGCTGCTGCTGCTGCTGCTGGGGCAGCAGTTGCATCGGCGACATTACAATTATGTTGGTGGTGCCTCCAGCGGCGGCCGGATCCCCGCCCTGTCCATATTCGAGGGACTTCTGCTCCTCGGGGGCCCTGGTGATGACGCAGTACTGATTGCCGTTGTAGGTGACGATGGGCATGCCGCTCATATTGCCCGTCTCGATGCTGTTGGTGGCGTGCAGGCCGCTCAGCTGGGCCTGCATGTAGGTGGCCGCCGTCGGAGAATTGGCAATGATGTGCGACACCGGCACCGACACCTGAACGGGTAGAGTGAACGGGAGATACTACAGAATGGATTGGCAGTTTGGGTATCAAGTAGAAGATTGTCAAATGTCTTTCTTTGGGTGTTGTTGTTGTTGTTGAATGTGTGCCGTTTGTAGCTGTTGTTGTTGGTTGATTGGTGTGCTTGTGGATTGTTAATAGGTAGTTACTTCTTGGCCCTGCTGTGTGCCGTTGCTGCCGCTGCCGTTCTGGTTGTGGCTGTGACTGTGACTGTGGCTGTGGTTCTGGTTGTGGTTCTGGTTGCTACTACTACTGGTATTGTACATAGGCGCACTGGTGGGGGCCTGTTGCAAGTGCTGTTGTTGTTGCTGCTGCTGCTGCTGCTGATGCTTTCTGGCCGCCTTCTTGCCATGTGCAACATGCTGGTGAATCTGCTGATGCTGCTGCTGCTGATGCTGTTGTTGCTGTTGTTGCTGTTGTTGATGTTGCTGTTGGTGCTGATGTTGCTGTTGTTGCTGCTGCTGCTGTTGTTGCTGCTGCTGCTGTTGCTGATTCTGCTGATGGCTGGCATTGAGGATCATCTGATTCTGTATGATTATCTTCTGCTTGCGTGCGTGTGCATGGGCCTCCATCTGGATCTGGTTTTGGTTGGCGTCCATCTGGTAGCCACGGTTTCCCTTAGCAATTACTCCGGCCGCCGCCGCCGCTGCCGCTGGTTTTGTTGACTCTACGACTACCCGTTCCGGTTGTCAATACTGCAAATGGATCACAAAAGATAGACAGAGAGCATTGCCCTCGGGTTATATCCAGTTCTTTGGGGGGCTAGTAATATCTCCTCGCGGCTACGCTGGCCTGGAGGCTCTACCGACATTTTCTCACCTCCAGATGACTCTTGGCATGGATGGACCACTCGTCCCGGCTCGAGAACATCCGCCCGCAGAGCTCGCAGGTCCACGAGAGCTGCTGCTGGCCGTGGTGCGGTATGATGATGCCGGGAATGGCCGTCGGCGCCCCCTGGGCCGACTGCACAATTATGTTCTGGGCGGCCACGTGCACGGCCTGCTGCTGCAGCTGCAGCTCCAGGCTCTGCTTGTTGTCCTCCGGCGGCGGGTCGGGCTGCTCCTTCTTCTTCACCATGTTGTTCAGCCGCTTGCCCAGCGGCGCAATATTTGTGGGGGTCACGTGCTTGAACTTATTCATGTGGATCACCAGCTTGTCCCGCCGCGCGAACGCCTTGTTGCACACCTGCAAGGGAGGCGATGGAAGGAAGGGAAAAGGAGGTTAGAGGCTTCTCCCCCACAGAGAGGCCGTGGCCAGTGGCCAGGGGCCGGGGGGATCTAGGGCAGCTTATACTTCACAAATATAGGGCTTCTCGCCGGTGTGGATGCGCATGTGGATGGTGAGCTTGTCCTTGCGGGCCAGCCCCTTGCCGCAGACCGTGCACTCGAACGCCTTGTTGGTGGCTGGAAGAGGAGATCCTTAATGAACGATCACAAAGAGAGGATCCCCTGGCATACTCACACTTCGAGGGATTCGTCTTGCGGACGCCGGAGGAGGCCTGCTGCACCTGCTGCAGCGCCTTGAGCCGGCTGGCCGGATGCATGGAACCACCCTCCACATACGGCTCGGTGAATGGTATTAGGTTCGGCTTGGGTATGTTGTAGGTGAGCTGCTCCGCCGCCGACCAGGTGCCCAGGCTCTGCAGAACGCGGACACCCCCCTCGAAGCCCATCCCGTCGTCCGGCACCGTGAAGGTGCTCTCCCCGCCTGCCGCCGCGGCGGCCACACTCGAGGAACTGATCTGGGGCACCTTGATGGTGGCCGCGTAGTGCTGTTGCTGCTGCTGCTGCTGCTGCATGCCGTTATTCTGCTGGTTGTTGTTGGCCGAGGGGGAGTTCTGCTGCTGGGAGGATTGCTGCTGCTTGAACTGGATGGCAGCCTGTGCCATCTGCTGCTGTACGGCCATATGGGCCTCTAGATATGCGTTCTTCTGGGCCACCGTCATCTTGTCCATGTTAACGGCGCCGTCCTGCGGGAACAAAATATATATAATTAGTATATTAATTGAAGCACTGAATATCCCACTGAATATTTTGCAAGCGTGTCTAAAAGGTTCTCTATGTTGCTGAGTTTTCCACAAAGGTGTAGCTATAGCTGACCCAAGGCGAAACTGTGGAAACTGGATCTTATAGTCCATTAATTTAATCTTTCATATATATAATATATATGTACAATATTATGCACAAATATTGTACACAAATCCGCCACATAATAGTCCAAGACGGATCGTTGTAATAAATCAAAGCGAATATGCCAGGGTATCAAAAGGTTCGTGCACCCAAGTCGCTCGGCTGCCTTGCCTTTCTTTCTTCTTGATTTCGCGCTTGTTTCGTTGCCGTTCCGTTCCGTTTCGTTCCATTCCAGTCCTGCTGGCACTGCCACCCCTAACAAACTAACGGGAGAGCTGTGAGGGAGTGTTGCGAAATTTCGTCAACGTCAGCGGCGCGGCGCGGCTGTGGATACGCAACACGCCACCCCCCAGAGAAGGAAAAGCACTCAAGCACTCGGCCTGCCCTTGCGCAAAAATTTGTGACTTGAGCTTTTTTCTCGCCCTCCATCCATCCCCCACCCTACTGCCAGTGCCAGTGCCATTCCCGCTACCCCCTGCCGAACTGCTTTGTGGTTGTGTGTGTATGCCGGTTGCTCCGGCCTGGCCCGGGCTTCGTCTCCGGCGGTGTGGGGCTTTTCCATGTCTGCCCGGATTTATTTTAAGCGCGCTACCCGCCGTAGTGCAGATCTTTTTCTAGCTTTTCCTTTCGTCAACGCGGCAATTGTCCGTCCACCTTTGTCCACCCATCATCACCCTTCGTCACCCTTGCACCCACCACTCGCGCACTTGGCCAGTTTCACAGTTCACTTCCTGGTGCCGTCCCCCGCCATGCAGGGGCTATTGACGTTTTCACTGCCAGTTGGCGTTTTCCTTCTTACCACAGTCGAAAATCAATACGAAATGGCCGCTCGGTCGTTCCCGGGGCAGCGTTTGGCGTTTGGCGCACAAAATTCACCCACAGCACACGAAAAACCGCCGCTAATTACGGGCAGGTTCTGTTCCGGTTTTTTTTTAATATTTTCACAAACGCGAAATCGGAAATCGGCAACCGAGAATCGGGGGAGATCGTTAAGCCAAATGGAATTCGATGCCGTCTACTTCCTCGAGCCAGAGCCCAGCGCCTATTGTTGTGTATGTATATTGCGAAACTGCCACCTCGGCCACAGTCGCTGCCGCAGTCGCAGTCGCTGTCGCAGTCGAAGCGCAGTCCAGTCTCCGTCTCCGTCCCAGGGAGAGCTTTGCTTTGCTCCTGACTTGGTGCCGGAGTCGGAGGGAGTCGTGGAACGGCGGAGCAGAGTGTTTGAGTAATTATTTGTTATGCCCGAAAAGACGGAGAGAAAGAGAGCTGGACAGGACGAATGGGAAGGTAGCGACGACGACGTCGCTAGCAGAGGCAGCGGCAGACAGATACTGAAAGGCCGAGCAAGGCGGAAGCGGCACCACGGCAAGCCACGGAGCAGAAAGCATTGCATAGCGCACGGCGTCGCAACTGAGATTCGCACGAGAGCTTTTTCTACTCTCTTTGGATGGATGGACTGCCTGGCTCTCGCTCTCGCTCCCACTCTCACTCTCACCTCTCGCCATTGTGGCGGCGCGATGGTGGTGGCTTGCTCCCGCCAGTCCGTGCAGGAACGGTCTGGCATTGAAACACGACACCAGCCAGAGGAACTGCAGCAGCTCTCACAATGGCATTGTTGGGGCGGGCTGCTTATCACAGCACAGTGGTTCGGGTATCGCCTAAACTGACCCAAAACCAGATATTTAGGATTTGCAGCTACGTACGTCCACTGTGCGCAGCTTACCTGTTCCGGGGCACTCACCTGAAAGTGTAGCGTGCTTCTGGCCGTACGCATGGCGGTGGCATACTTCCGCAGCGTCTGCTCGTTGCTCCGGCAGATCTCGCGCCACTCGTGCAGGTGCTCCAGCCTGGCCAGGCACTGCTCGCAGATGAACTGCGGCAAGGGGTCCTCCTCGGCGACCTGCCAAGCAGTCGGGCTAATAAACATACGGGAGGCACGTTTGTTTATCCGCTGACTACTTACGTGCGCCTGCAGCAGGCTGCGTAGCTTGTGGAGCAGCTGCCGCCGCACGGCCTTCTCCTCGAAGAGGTGAATCTTGGCCGGTCCCCGATGGATGACGCACAGGCGACACAGCTCCCCGAAGGATGTGAAGTTGAGATCGTCGTGGCTGCCATTTGTTGCATGTTGCCTCTGTGTCGGCAACAGTTGCTGGCCCGCGCCGACAGTGGCAACTGTTGCTGCGGAGTGCGGCGGAGCCGCGTGTGTATGCAACATTGCGGATGTCATTTGGGTCAAATTACATTAGAGCCACTTTTATGAACAGAAATCAAATGGCGATTCCTGCCCCCCCAACAGGTGATTCGTAAAAATCGATGCAATTCCAATTGGCAGAAATTAGTCCATTGTCCGCCCTGTAATTGGGTTAATTGCATTCGCCGTTGCAGGTAAGGGCGACTCCCTTTCCTTTGCGCGCTTCCCCAGAACTATGCCACAGAAGCACACTCGCGCGGCGGCCCATAAATTATATTTGATGCCACAGTTTGTTCCCTTTTGCTCCGTTTTTTATTGGACACTTGCAAAAAAAGTGGTAAGGAAAACTCTGCTCACTCTGGCGGGAAAGTCGAAAGCGCTTTAGAGCCTCTGCTGCTGCTACTGCTGCTGCTGCACTTGCCATGTCCTCTGTGAGGTGAGGGTGTGAGTGGATGGACGGGCCTGAACCCGAGTGAAAAACTGCAGGCCCAGTACCCTTCCCTTTGCTTCTGCGAGTGCGCATTGCCAGCTGCAGGAGGGCTGTTCTAGCAGCGGGAGGCGGGAGGGAGGAACAAAATTGCGCGCATTTTTTTTGTTGCCTGTTTTCACATTTTTTTCTATGCATGGCCAGGGACAGGGGGCAGGGGACAGTGGGATAGAGGCAGAACGGAGCAGAAAAAACATTTGGAAAAGCTTAAATGATGGGGCAACAGGTGTGGGGGAGACCTAATCAGCCGTAGCCGGAGCTGGGGCTTCTTCCACGGCCACAGGAGAAGCTTCTTGCTCCGACTCAGACTCGCTTTCAGGCTTTGGGGGCGGAGGTGGTGCAACCGCACTGTGATCCGATTCGATATCGGAGCTGGCGACGTCCTCACCTTCGGCCTCTTCCTCGACCTCAAAACGTTCCTCCCTGGCCTCCTCTTCCTCCGGCATGACTTCCTCGTAGACGATGACCTCCTTCCACAAGATCTCCTCGCCCACGCAGGCAGGCTCATCGCTCTGGGGCTCCACGCGCTTGTTCAGATCCAATTCGCAGATGCACGGCTCGGAGCGATCGAAGCCGCCGCAGGTCACACACGAGGACGATGTTAGCAGCATGGAGGAGTGCGGCGAGGTGCTGGACAGCACGGAACTGCTGCTCTTGGACTTTTGCTTGTCCCGCGGCTGGGCGTCCCGCGCGGCCGACGGATATGTCGTCACAGTCTGCTGCGCCTTGTCCTGGATGGCCACGTCGGGACGCACCTGGCACTGGTTGCTGACTCGCGGCACCTTGGGATTGCTGCGCACCAAGTAGTCGGACACCCGCACCTTCCAGTTGTCCTGGCTGCAGTCCGCATTCTGCAGGATGTCGTAGACCTCGGCGATCAGCTGCTTCAGCATAGGCCGGTTGCAGAAGTTGTTGCGCTCGAATAAGGCTGTGGGCTCGTGGATGTCTGAGGGTGTGCAGAAAGTGAAGTGTTAGTGAATGAATGCCAGGCGAAGGCTACTCACAGTTGGGAAAGATGAAGTTGATCTCGCGAGCCACGCTCTGGGCGTGCTTGGTCACGTGTATGTTGCGCTCTAGGTCCGCGGATGTTCCGCTGCAGGCGCAATGGTTACATGGGAATGGAAAGATCTGCCGCAGGGGGTAGGGCACACTTACAAGTAGCAGATCATGGTGGTGAGCAGCTCCTGCACCGCATTCTCTTTGGTCACAATGAAGGCCTCAGAGACGCCCTTGGACAGGAGTATGACCTCCAGCATGAAGCCCTTCTCATCGGCATAGTCCGCATAAAACTCGGCCGCCAGCTCTGGGGAGAAGGCCAACTTGCGGCTTCCCTTAATCAGGAATCTCTCGGCCAGCAGCTTCAGTAGCACCGGACGACGCTTGTGCATATAGTCCGGCTTCATGATCAGCAGCGAGTTCTCAAACATGATGTGATACTAAATATACGTATAAGGATCCAGAAATTGGAATGGGAATTTTTCAATAAGCGCGCTGCTGCTGCTCTCTCCGTTTTGTTTATGAAATATAATTTCTACACGTTTCGACTGCTTAAACTACGCACACTGACTCGGATACATGGATACATATGTAGATACACAGTTTTGGATTCGCTAATATTTATATTGAATGTACGATTAGGTTACAGCTTAGTGTTAATTTTAGTTTCTGTTACAGTTCAACTTGTTCAGCCCGGTGTTCGCGTGCACTTTAAAATCATCTAGTATCTTCATCTTCATCATCATCATCACAAATCTTCATCTTCATCTCTTAACCAATTTAGAGCCGAATTCGGAACCGAAAATCAATCCAAAACAGAGTGCGGAAATAAAGTAAGTAAGGGTCGTTCATGTACAGTAAATCGTTATAGAATGTAAACGGATTATGTAAAGATATTTGTATATATAAAGCGTGGGACTGTGTCACCCTCCTCCTCCTTCTTCACTCCAGTCCAATCCTGCACACATCACAATGCGGTTGTCGCGAATCACGGGACCGGATCTTAGGCTGCAATCAGTAATGGAAAGTGAGTTGCGGATGTGTAATCAATGGGACACTAATTTACCTGAAATCCTGGCAAAGGCCAGCGAGGACTTCTCGCTTTCGAAGCACTTGCCAATCTCAGCGCACACGTGCGACTGATCCACATTAGGTCGCTGGGACACATGCTTAAAGCTGTTGCCATAGATAGAGATCATTTTGGAGCACTAGCGGGGGGAAAGGTAATTGATTTAGCAAGGTCTGGTAGGAGTATTCGTTTTGGAGCCTTACAATGCTGTAGTATTTGGCTGGCAAGTTCTCGCAGGCCACCGAGGTCATTTCCACTGTGGTCACATCGGTCTCCTTCGGGTGGGCGCTGAGGAAGGGCAACAGGACTTGAGTGGCGCCGTGGCAGACACCGCACTCGATCACCTCGTCGGTGACCACCTGGCTGAAGCAGAGCTGCAGCTTCTGGCACACCTCCTTGGGCGGCACCTTGCTGAGCAGATCAATGACGGCCGCGGCGTAGCCCTCGACGAAGGTGTCGCACGGCTTGCGGACCGTGGCGGGCAAGTGGTCGCACACCGCCAGAATGGCACGCTTGATATCGTCCTGTTCGGTCTTGTTCTTCAGATCAGCCTCCATTTTGGTCATGATGAACTCGCAGAGCACGCAGGTGGGCGGCTCCTTGGGCTTTTGCGACTCCTCGAGGCGGGCCAGCTGGTCAGCCGGATGGGGCAGAGCAATAACATCGTACTTGAGGGCCTCGTCAATTTCAACTGCAGGGAATGAAGGACACACAGAATCGTTATTTGGCTCCATTGCTGCTGGCTGCTTTGCTGCGGTTCTACTCACGATCCTCCTGTTCGGAGAAGAGGCACAGTCCCAGCTCGGTGCAAATCAGCTTGGGATCCATCTCCTTCAGCAGGAGGTCGGCAATTTGGTCTCCGAATTTAGCGATCAGCTTGTGGCATTTGCTGGCCACCGGCTTCTTGAGCTTGTCGCAGGAGTGCTCGAGGATCTGCTTGATGCTGTCTTTTGTGGGGTGCTTGCCCATCTTCTTCTCGACGGTTTTCACGAGTTCCTCGCAGATCAGGCAGTTTGGTGCACCGTTGTAGTCCCTCTCGAAGACCACCTCGATGGGCAGATGCTCGAGGGAAGCAACATCGTTGAAGATCATCTCCTCGCTGCTGTTCGAGTCGTCATCCTCCATGCTGATGCCCATGTCGTCCAGATAGTTCTTGTTCTTGGGGCAGAGCTTAAGCTGCACGCAAATCTCCTGCGGCTTGAAGTCGGTGATCAGCATGTCGATCAGCTCGTTGGAGTAGGTGTTCACGAAGTCTACGCACTCGGACCTTAGCTTGTTGGGCAGATGGACGCAGAGATCGGCCAGAACCTTCTTGATGTTTTCCTGCACAAAAAACACAACCAAGGGGGGAAGTTAGCGAAAGATCTGTGCGACCCGGGTGGAATGCTTACCTTGGACTTGTTGTCACGGATCTTGCTCTGGGCCTGCTCGACGGCAAAGAGGCACAGCGGACAGGTGGGCTGATCCTGCTGATCGCCGGTGGTCACGGGAACCGGGTGGAACACCTCAATGTCCTCCTGGTTGTCCAGGTTGTGGGGGCACATTTGCAGCTTGGGGCACACATCGCGGGGATTGAGTCCCTGGACAAGGAGGGCGATCACGGCATCTCCGTACATCTCCACAAAGTTGCGGCACTGGCCGGCGACGCCCTTGGGGAACTTGGTGCACATGTTCTCGACGGTGTGCTTGATTTCGTCATCGGTGGCGGGCGTGGCCAGTGTCTCCTGGATGAAGTGCAGCAGGTACTCGCAGATGGTGCACAGCTCGCCGCCCTCCACCAGCGTGCTGGGATTGGCAGCACCCATCAGATGGTCGATGGGCAGCTGCATGCCAATGATCTGGTCCTGGGTGAATTTGGGCTCGTTGGCTCCCAGCTTGTGCAGCTTCCTGATGGTTACCTGCACTTGGGCGGGTTCAATGGCGGGTAGGAGAGGCATGATCGGGGCAACTGGGGAGGCGGCAGCATTCTTGGGGCAGACGCCAATGAGGAAGCACGCGCCGTTGGCATCCAGCTTGTTCACCAGGGTGTTGTAGATCACATCGTAGTACTGGTCCACGATGCTGATGCACTCGTCCTTGAAGCCGCGCGACTGCTTGCAGAAGCCTTCCAGCACCTGCTTGAACTCCGTCTCCGTGGTGTTGGCCACCAGAACGTCGCGCAGATGCTTAACCAGCTGCTCGCACAGCTCACAGGGAATGTCATCGCCGGCATCCAGGGCGACCAGAGCCTCGGGCTCCTGCTTGTCTTCGCTGTGTTGGTGGTAGCGAGTGGCACAAACTCCCGACACGTGGCAGAGCGCGTCTGTGTTCAGATGCTGGCGCACATGGTCGTAGATGTCGTTGAAGTAGGTCAGCACAATGTTGGCGCAGGCGTCCGAGAAGCTGGACAGCGAGCCGCAAACGTGCAGCAGCTGCTCCACCATGTCGTCGCGGTTGGTGGCCTCGAACTTCTGGTGCATCATGTTCGACAGCAGGTTGCAGTTGCCGCAGGACAGCTGATTGGGTTCCAGAATCTCCCTGGTCTCCTCCGACGAGTCCTCGTCCTCCTGCGGCTCCTTGCCTTCGAGTGCGGCCTGGTAGGCTGTCTTCAGCTTCTCATCGATGGCGGCGCTGTTGCAGAGCCCGGCCACAGAGCAAACTTGCTGTGGGGGAATCACCAACAAAGAAGGATAAGCAGGGAGTTCAATTGCGGGGATTGTGGGCGAGAAGACTCACGTCGGGGTTCATTTGGGAGGCCAGGGCCTCGACCAGCTCGGGCAGGAAGTCGTCGGCCATCTTGATGCACTCCTTCTGGATGGGCTTGATGGGTATCAGCTTGCAAGAGCCCTCAAAGACCTCCTTCAGCTCCTCCTCGGTCTCGTTGCTCTTCAGCTGGTCGCGAGCCTGCGTCACCATGTCCTTGCATATCTGGCAGATGGAGTCCGTGTCCACGGGCACCACCTTCTTCTCCCACACGGTCTGGATGCAGTGACGCGTAGCCCGGCATTCCTTGGAGTTGCTGCAGCGGGGAAAGAACAAAAAAGACAAAGGGACTGTCAGCTTGAATTTCTCCAAAATGATAAGCCCAAAGAACGAAAACAATTGGGATTATGCTGATGCAGCAAGACCGCAGTAGGAGCCGCAGATCAAATGACCCGCATTCGTAATCGAATGACCAAGGCGCCAAGTCAGCAGAGAGATCAGAGTCCACTACTGGCAAGGGAAAGGGAGAAGCAACTCGAACTACAGCGAATGGGGCGCTTCCCTTTCAGTTGAATGCACCCGCAGAGCATGTGATTTCTGACTGATTAATAATGACAGTGGATAATATTTTGCGTGGATCTGATCCATTCACTTGGGATGGAGTGATTCTCATCTTTGGCCTGGATTTGGATATGCTAATGGCTAATGCCAAATACCTATTAACAACACAAATTTGTGTTTGCATTCGGCACAAATACCGACAAAAAAATACGTTGAGAGTGGTGGGGAAAAAACAACAAAAGATAAGCACGGAAATGTCTTCACACATACATATGTGCATATGTGTGTACGTGCGAGTATGTGCCGTATATCTGGGTACATCTACACAAACATTATATGGTATATGTGATATTGTTTTTAATATTTCAGCAATGGCGACGTTTTTATTTCGGTCTGCAATGTTTTTTCTTTTGTCAAACAAAGAAAGAGTTAAGAAATGCTGAATTTTCCTCCTGAGTGTTTAAAAATAAATCCATCAATGAACAAAGGAATGGGTTGTATGGTATGTCCAGCGGTAAGCCCCACAAAAAAGGAACCCTATCCACAGCGAACTACTCCCGTATGACACATGCATTCTGGGATTAGTCAGGGGCATAACGTATGGTTTCTGCTGTGGTTCAGCGATAACAAGCAGAGCAGAGCAGAACAGATCGGCTGTAAGCTGATCCCCGGATCGCATGAACTCTGGCTTAGTCATGCAAATAGTGGGGCGGTCGGATGAGTTGATAAAGCAGCCAGCGATTAACTTTGTTCAGCTGCAGGCGAATTGTTAATTTGATTAACGGCAACAGCGTCGAAAACAAAGCGCACTGGAGAATACAGATAGAGAGAGAGGCAGAGGCAGAGGAGAACTAAGAGAGTGCAAAACAAGAATAGGACGGAGGAACTAGAACAGTCGCCACAAAGGTTATCGGGAATGGCGACTATTGCGGACGCCGTGGCGATTGATTCTTGATTGTCTTATCGTTGCGAACGAACACTTATGGCTTATGGCTCACAAACAATGCACGAATGGGGAGAGGCTAATGGGTTAAGAACTGCGTTTTCGCCTAGATGCTTTCGATGACTAGGCACTTTACCCACACCCCCCGCACTCACCTAAAGTTGTCGCACCAGTAGGTGGGTCCCCAGGTGCATTTGCTGACGCCGACCAGTTGCTGGCCGCCACTGCTGACAGGCGACGAGGAGGCGATGCCTGAAAAATTGCACCACAAAAGCCATACATATAGTTCACCATCAATCACGAATCATGCTTAAAGAAAAAACGCAATTTGCACTATGACACACACTTACCGCAGGCACAAACAGCCAAAATGGCCAAAAGGCCAGCTCTGCGCATTTTGTTGATTGTTCTTCTTTTCTGTTTAACTATTTGAATAGGTTGATGGGTCGGCTTGCTTTTGTGTTTAGGGACTGTTATTATCTGGAAATGGAAACGCGAACTGCAACTGCAACGAATAAAAATTATTTATTTCACTATTTTTTTTAAAAAGTGTGACCAGCAGCGGATACCTAAAAAACACTTGTATGACTGCAAGTTTAGCCTTTTTCAAGCCAGATCTAGCTTTTTAGCATATTCAGAAAAAAAAAATTTAGCTTGTTTGAGATTAAATGTAAAAATTAAAATTTTCTAGCTTTGCATAAAAAGTTTCGGAACATGTTTTTTGTGCTTACCATCGAATGGTTTAAACGGTATACTTTACGGTATATTTTAAAAATGAAAACTCACCACGATTTGGGAGATTTTAGCTGTGGTGCTGCCACACTGACGGAAAATAGTAATACGCGCTGCCACTGATAAAATGTTTGAGTGTCGGCGGGAAATTTGAAATTTTGTCAAGAGAAGATTCCTATTTTCTATTATCACAAAAATTTGTAAAGTAACACAAAGTAAATTTGTTGTACGTATGTGACGGGGCGCAAACATGAAATACAAAAATAATGACTCTAACAGCACACTGTTCTTGAAAAATTCTCAAAATAACTCAAAATGGTGTTTTAATCGATTTGAAATCGCAGATTTAATAACATATTGGCGCGTGAAAACTATGACAATAACCATCAACGACGGTCTTGAACTCTTGCTCGGCTATCAATCCGCCCATAAATGAGCAGCACTGCCCAACCGCTTAGCCCCCTTTGCCCAGCTGTTTGATTGCGACGCCTCGCAAGCGCACATTAAAATATAGAGAAGCAGAGAACAATTCCATTGTAATTATGCCCCACAGCGCCACAGCTGAGGTAAATTGATTGATGTAAACGCGAATGGGAACGCACACGATTATATTACCGGAGAGTCTCCGGTACCCACACCACACTCGATCTGTGGCATAGTGTCGTGTAATGTTTGCCTGGGAAAATGCATAGCAAAACAAACAATTTCGGCTGCGACTGCGATGCCTATCTGAATCCAACTCTCCAATTTGTTTGCGTATCAAGTTGTGTGTGAGAAACATCTTGAATGTGTTTCGCAGATACATAGACACATTCTCGATTGAAAGTCGAGGTCATCCGGTGGTGGCGGTCGCCACTCGGCGGTGGTTGTCTTGGCAAGCGAAATGCCAAATGCAAGCCAGAGCCAGGCCAATCCGCGATCTATCCAATACGGCTATATCGGTGTCAAAACCACCGATTCGGCTGGCCAGGGGCTTAGAAGGAAACTTGAAACTGGTCGCGTTGACCCTGAAGCCAGATGCCTGCATCGCCATTTGGTTCTTTAACAAAATTTTAATAGCACTGCCACCAAATTGAGGCTGCACTTGACCATCGGCAGTGAAGTTTGACTCTACTATGTCTATGTCTATGACTCAGTGTCTAGGTCTGGGCCCGAGCGATAATTTGGCCAGAACAAGCCGCCAAGGCGCACGCAATCATGGCCAATGCCATTGAGAAAGTCTCACCACAGTGGCCCACCATTTGTGGGAGTGGGGAGGAGGTGGAGGAAGGTGGGGGCAGGTAGTTATTGCAGAGTTTTGTGTTGCGTGAGAGAGATTGTACGTAGTTTGCTACTCTAATTGCCAGCGGTGATTACGAAGCCAAGACACGCTTAAAGTGCGTCACATAAACATAAGCCACATCCATCTAGTCGCTAATTGTTTTACTGCCCCATGTCTGACCTCTTGTGCAACTTCCTTTCCCATGAGGCGGCGGGCTGCAGCCCAAATGGATGACAGTACTGGAGTACTGCGCTTAAGAGATCAAGAGTGGTTCTCACTCTCCACTCCCAGACTCAATGCGGAAATGAACTTGACCTTATCGACGGGCCCAGAGCCGACCGCTAGCTGATAGTTGGCCAAAGACGAATGGCGCTAGGCCGGCCAAATGCGAGCTAATCAATTCAGCAACAACCACTGGCAGCAGAGCAGCGGAAAATACAAGTTGCTGTTGTTGCTGCCCATAATTTGTGAGTCAAATAGTGGCTGGCCTGGCTAATGATAATAAACGAACGGAACACCACAGCACCGAACCGAACCGCACCGCCCCGCACCGCACCAGTAACAAAAGCCAACCAACCCAAGGAACAACGAAAAAGTTAAAATCTACAACTCTTATTTTATTGCAGTCTTTGGCCGAAGGCGACTTCTTCTTCCGCACGTAGTCAGGCCGAGATTTCCAGATCAAGTTCAAGTCTCAAGCATAGAAAAGAGAAGAGAAGCTGCTACAGAGAACTATAAACTAGAAGCATTGAACTGAAACCGAAACGGAGACCATAACCGAAACCGAAACCGAAACATGGTTTGCTTTGACCCATTGAACTGCTTTGAGAGGCGACCCAAGATGACCCGCCCCCTAAGCAGGTTTCACTTAAAATTTAAATGCATATAATAATTATAACTAAAATGTCGAACGCCATTCCCGGCTTCTAAAAATTTCATGCACGAGTGGTGCTGGTACTCGCATATGTATGTTGGTGTGTGTCTGCCCCATCCTGGGGTGGCATTAAATGGGAAAAACTCTTCTGAGGGAATACATTTGAGAATAACATTGGCAAATGTTGTGCACATATTTTAATAATCTTTTAATAACTATATCTAAATATATATTATTGACTAAAGACTTTTACTTCTATAGTAAATTCCTCAAGGGGATAGTTTTCTGGAATTTCTTTTCTCAAAAATATTCCAAGAGCGGAAGAAGCGTAAAGCGGTCTTCGTGATCAATGATGAATGATGAATGAATAAAATCCACCACATGTGGCCTTGATCTTGAAATCCAAGAAGCTAAATGCTATCTGCCCTCCATATAACATGATTCGAAAATCTCTACCGGTTATTAGCATATTCGTGCGAGTTGCTCGCAGCCTGCAGCACAAATCAGCCATCGATCGACTGCACGTAGGCCCATTAGCATAATCCAAGAAAACAAAGCCCAAATCGTATCGAAATAAAGGGAAGCCTTATCGGGAAGATATCCTGAATCCGGGAAGATTCCTTCCACTATGGTTATATTTTGGTTAAGTGCTTCACATTGACGACACCTGGCCAAGGGGCTTCCCCCGATGCTTGAGTCGTTTCTTGTTTGTTTGTTGAGTGTACTACATAGGATATGGGGCTAGTGGCGTACCAAGAATTAGACGATAAAATTGTTAAATGAAAATAGAAGTGCTCGGTGGACAGAAGTCTCGAACAGCGCATGACTCGGCAATTTGGGCAATCCGCTTTTTCTTCGCGAAGCTGTTAATTCTTCTATAATTAAAGAACGAGTCGCTTGGACCACAACAACCAACCACTTCTGCTCGTAAATACTTCTACATCTACTTCCTAGACTCAGACAACGGAGTTTAATACGATTGTGTCTGTGTGTGTGTGTGTGTGGGTGTCTGCCTCTTTGGAGGTTTCGTAATCACTTCTTTTCTACGTTTCTGATTTACAGATGAGGCCCCCAAATGGTGAATGTAACATGAATCTAATGGTAGGTCTTTATCGCAGCTTAGATGCCGATAGACTGCGGCAAATATGTGGGGACAGTGGTCCCTGACCTTTGGGGGGATCTCTTCTCTTCTCTTTAGCTTGTTATGGTAATTTTGTTTTGGATTAAAATTAAAGATACATTCTATGATTCCCCCAACTCTTTAGGTCCGGTTTTATAATTTATTTCGGGTGCTCGGCTAATTCGGCTAACAATATTTGTTAAATTATTCTTTTCGGTATCGGAGGCAAAGCCTGGAGCAGCCTGGAGGGGTGTATAAATCTGGCAAGGTTCTGTTGGCATCTGAAATCTAAAATCAAGGGGCACACTTGTTTGGAACAGGTTCGACGACTTACTCCGAGCAGACACAAAACGAAACCCAAAACGCAAATGCCGATATTAAATTAATTACGTTAGCTAAGAACCCAGGCACGAGCACAACCTGTGACGGCAATTAAAAATGCGCATAAGGGACCTTCTCCTTGGCCTTGGGTTACATTTAACATCTCGATCTCAATGGCAGCTAATTAAGAACCTAAAAATCTAACCAGTGCAAGGTTGCAATCGCCAGCGCAGGCAGCGGTGGCAAATGATTTTGATTTTGAAATTCTGAAACCTCTCGAATTAAACGCTCCCATTTTGAAGTGTCCACTAACGGACATGACAATGCGTTTAAGCTCGTAGTTTTATTGCACTTATACTAGTAGTGGTAGTGTATCTATAGTTAATGGTCCCCTCTCTCATCCAAAATGGGTGCTCAAGGCCACATCTGGGCAGAACCTGGAGCTGTCAGTTCTCAATGGTCTATCGGTCACAATTAATTGCATAGGGAGATCTTTCTGACTTCTGTTTTTGGTTTTCGAACCCAAGGGCAAGCCATCAAAGTGCAAAAAATAAATAGGCGAAAAAAGTACACTGAAAAAAGTGTGTTCCGAGATGATATTTTAGGGAGTGGCATTCCCATTTATGGTAGAATTTTTCCGCCCAAGAGAGATGTACACATAAGGAGGAGATATATTCTAGAGAGTGTATAATGAGAATGTTAAAGCATTAAGCTAAGATCTTCAGGTCAAGATTGGCAGTAGATATCTTTTTCATATTAAAAGTAGCATCCTTATTTCTCGCTGTGGAACCCTCTGTGGAACTGCAACTATTTGTGGGTCTCGTCAGCAGCAAACGGCCCAGTCATCTAGGCAACAATGTGAGTGGCAGAAAGACAGACAGCCGAGTGCAAGGCGGTCGTTTTGGCTACCTTTTTGTCGCCTCTGGCACTGGCGTCGTCTCTACTACCTTTTCGCGATCGAGCACACACATCAGTGCCGAGCATTTGGAGATACTCTCACGCACACCAAGGCACACACAGACACAAATACAGATGGAGCTACGATACGAAGCCGAGCTTGCGACGAGAGCTGCTTGAAACCCGAAACGCTTGGCCCGAAATTTTTAGCACTTCTTTTTAAATTTTTGTGCAATCTCGGATTTTTGGTTAGTTGTCTATTGGAGTTCGCAGCGCTTATAGCCAACATTCGATAGGGTTCGCCGGATCCGGTTCGATCTACATACGTATACGTGGGACAGGGATATGCCCCGAGCATTACAAAGTGAAACGCAAATAAACACGCCAAAAATATACTCCATTCCGAGTTCCGAGCTGACATAAAGGATGTCCTCAAAAGTGATTAGTTCTTTGATGGCCGAGAGCATTTTGCTCACGAAAATGGCCCAAGTGATTTCGGGATACTCCCCCATAACAATCTTCCTGCTGGCGTCCATCACCATCTTCCTGGTGGTCTACAACAAGCGCAGGTCCCGCCTGGTGAAGCACATTGAGAAGATACCGGGCCCGGCCGCCATGCCCTTCCTGGGCAATGCCATCGAAATGAATGTGGATCACGATGGTGAGTACGAGTACGAGTACCAGTACGAGTTCTAGAGTTCTCACACCCATTTGGACAATAAATACTCTGTGTACACTCTGTGACTGCTCCAGTTAGTGATATCGACCCTGAGTCATGCCAAGGGGTGCATGATTGGTTGGACAAACAGTGAGCCGGGGAGCTGAGCAGGTGCTAATTTGGCTGATCAGCTCCCAACGAGCCCATGTATGTGAGATCTTCGATGGACCGATCTTTGGTTTGGATGCCAGTGTTAATGAACTTTGCTTAGCTTTTGGAAATTCACTTTCATTGCGGAAGATAGTCTGCCCAGGCCATAAGATCCCACAAACCCAGTCGCTAATTGATTTATAGAACAGCCTAGACAAACATTTTGAAATGCAACAAAACCTGTGGAAAATTGGGCTGTAATAAGCAGGTGATTTGTGTTGTGTGCTCTTCGCTTGTGTTTTGTTTTGTTTTTTTAGCTTTTTGCGGGGTTTTTGTTGTTGCTGCAACACATAATTTAATTAACATATATTTGTCTCTGTCCGCGGGGTTTGCCTCATCTTCGATTGGGGACAAACAAAACACCAATAAATTAAGCTGCATTTGAGCTCGGAACCCAAACGAGTTGTTTAATTAAAATGAGTTTAAATTCCGAAAAAGTTCTGCGGGAAGGCATTCACCTTTACCCGAAAACAGAACCTAATCAAATATTTAATTGGAAACCTCAGACGGAGGTTAATTTGACACTTAACCACCCGGCACCGGATGAATTATGGAACAATCAAAAGTTATCACACAAATTAGCGCAGATAAATGTTTTTGATCTTAATATACGACCGGACTTTGAAGTGGGCCAAGACTTTCCCTTAATCGTAATACTTAAAATGTAATTTCACACGCCCTTTATATGGAATTAAACTATTAAGAAATATGAACAGAGCCGTGGAGAGTCAGTGGCCAGAAGCTTATAGTCGGATGCCCATAAATCAGTGGCATAACAAGCCAAACAAATACTTACTTGAAGAGCGATAAAAATAGCCATAAACAAGGCAGCCCCAGACCCGGCTCAGACAGAGACTGGGGTCTCATGAAAAGGTCCAAAGCAGACAATGGGCAATGGGCCTCTGGCCAAAGCGGACTTGATCTTGACACTGAATCGTAGAAGAACTCTGCAGTTCTCTATCGATCGATGTATGATTAATTCGCTTGCCGCAGATCCGCTTTTGCAATGCCGAAAACAAAGCAAATTAACATGAATTTAAATGCGGAAGCAGCCCCCAAGAGATACGAAATTTGTGGGCAAACTATTGGACCGCTGCAATGCTGGCTCTGAGCGGATTTCGTGTAGGAAATGAATTTGATAAAATGTATAAAATATTGTTGCTCACTTGATATGAGCTAAGCCCTGACTGGATTCGATTCATTTCCGTTTTTTTCTTTGTCTTTGAAGAGTCGGTGAAGATCTCTTCTACCGAGTGGCTACCCCCCTACCTCCCAAATCTGGTTTTTGGTTAGTCTTGAGAGTTCTTATGGCTGCCCAATTAGCATTAGCTTATTTATAAAATTTCATTGAATGTTTAGCAGTGTTTCGACCAAGTGATAATCAAGTTAGATCATTTAATGAGTCGGGCAGAACATTAGGAACTGGTTCATGCAAACCAGTCTATTATATGAGCATCATCTTCAAGCAGCAAGAGCCGAATAGTCTGTCAGAAGATTTGATCAAATACTTGCCAAGTAAAAGATTCTTTTGCTGTCAAGGCAATCGGGGAGTAGCAGCTTGCAGCTTGCCTACAATTTATGGAGCGATTAGCAGCCTCTGAGTTTTTATGAATATTTTTATAATCATAATTTAATTTAAGAACGTACCTCCCCTGTCTGTCTCTGCAATTACGAGGCTTTTGTTAAATGCTTATAGTGAAATATGATGTTGCAGAACGGCTGCCCAAGGTCAAGTGGTTCTTGATCATGCATATTTCTCTTGGATAGCTCGCAGCTGAAGCTGAAGGGGCAAGAAGATTGGCAACATACTAGCTTGAGTGGTTTGTGGTGTGGAGTGGAGTGGAGTTGTGTGCAGTGCTTCCAAGGCTTCAACTGGTTACCAGTTCTAATGCCAAAGAACATTCGCTGGCTTGCGCGGGTCACGGCTGCCTGTGGCAGTAACCTGGGGTGCCTGGGGTCGGTAGTGGGTGTTCTGCCCACTGTACTGCTGGGTGCGGCATTGGGGAGCACTTGGATCGCCGTCTGCGCGGTAACTGCTTTTTAATGTGCACTGCCAATGTCAGCCGAGCGAGAGAGCTACCAAAATTATGCCAGACATAAATTATTTCAAATTGCCAAAGCAATTTTACGCAGAAAATACCGCAGCAGGCAGGTGACAGCCAGGTACAATATGAAATCAAAAGCAAAATCAAAATGAAAATGATAATGAAGACAGCCGGCTGTGCCGGCACTCTAGTGGCTCTGACTGTGTCTCTGCCACTGACTCTGTAAAATGTGCTTTGTTTTGGGAGAGTACGAAATTTGCTACCCATTTGCCATTGGGGTTGCCTTTGCCTTCGCCTTCCATGCAAACTTCCGACTTGGCATCAAAACTAGTATGAATGTCGGCGTCATCATCAAGTTTTGCTTTTTGGGTGTTTTTGGGGGTTACATAAAGTCATTATTAGAGATCGCTGAATGGCCACGCATGGGTATGGGTATGGGTAAGGGTCCCCAGTCTCTGTGCTTGTGTGCGAGAGAGTGTTTCATATTTTTAATTAATGCAGAAAATACATATGTACATATGTATGTATATGCAGATGCTACATAGATAATGAGTAACGTGCCTTCGCTCAGCTATGCTCTGCTCTGCTCTGCTTTCGGCTTTTGGGTGTTTTCTTGGAAAGTAATTGCAGCGACCTTGATAGTTGCCCAGAGAGGGAGTCTCCCATTGCTGCCGTTAACTATTTTCTCACACAAATTTGTCATAAGCGCTACGATTTGAGTTTGCTAACCGGTTTCGCACCATCACCATCAACAATCACCATTTGAATTCTCTTTCAGAGCTCTTCAACCGCGTCATCGGCATGCAGAAGCTGTGGGGCACGCGCCTCGGCATCAATCGCGTCTGGCAGGGCACCTCGCCCCGGGTGCTACTCTTCGAGCCCGAAACGGTGGAGCCCATCCTGAACAGCCAGAAGTTCGTGAACAAGAGCCACGACTACGACTATCTGCATCCCTGGCTGGGCACCGGCCTCCTCACCAGCACCGACCGCAAATGGCATTCCCGCAGAAAGGTGAGTGTCTGCTCCTCCTCCTCCTCCGGCAGAGTTCATCGGGTAACGTAACTCTCTCTGTTGCTGCAGATTCTCACGCCTGCCTTCCACTTCAAAATCTTGGACGACTTTGTGGATGTTTTCAACGAGCAGAGCGCCGTGCTGGCCCGCAAGCTGGCCGTTGAGGTGGGCAGCGAGGCGTTCAATCTGTTCCCCTACGTCACGCTCTGCACCTTGGACATTGTCTGTGGTGAGTGTCAATGTCGGGTAGGGGTAGGGTAGCCCCATCTCCATAGACCGTTGCTAATTGCGTCACTCGTCTTATTGCAGAGACCGCCATGGGTCGCAGAATCTATGCCCAGAGCGACAGCGAGTCGGAGTACGTGAAGGCAGTCTACGGGTAAGCGACACAGTGCCATAATGATCAGAAAATAGTGTGGGATTGGGCTAGGTTGGGGTGTCTGTGTGCAACTCTTCCTCATCTGCCAGCGACGTCCTGGCAGCAGTTTAATATCGAGAGCTGTCATGCCAGCTGTCAGAACAGGAGGAACACTCCCCCAGCTACACATGTCCTCCCATCCCATCCCATCCCATCCCATCCGTCCATCCGCCCTACGCCCGGGCAGGAGCTGAAGCAAAAGTGCAGCCATGCGGAAAATATGCGAGATTAAGATGTCAATGCGATGCTTGAAGTGCTCTGATGCTGATAACAGACAGCTCCCGCTCCCGCTGCCGCTGCCGCTCCTGCTGCTGCTGCTGCTTATGGCACGCCTCATGAAGCACACACCCAAGCCCACACTTGACTAACTTTCAATTTAACGCAACACTTTCCCAATCCCCATTCCAATCCCAATCCGCCCTTTAGAATTGGCTCGATTGTGCAGAGTCGCCAGTCGAAGATCTGGCTGCAGAGCGACCTCATCTTCCGGCTGACCGACGACTACAAGCTCCACCAGAGCTACATCAGCACGCTGCACGGCTTCTCCAACATGGTGATTCGGGAGCGCAAGACCGAGTTGGCCCTCCTGCAGGACAGCAACAACAACAACAATAACAACAACACCCCCGATGCCTACGATGATTTGGGAAAGAAGAAGCGTCTGGCCTTTTTGGATCTGCTGATCGATGCCTCCAAGGAGGGCACCGTGCTGACCAATGTAAGTGCCACCGGAAGGGAAGCTAAGCCTTCACTCTTAGAACCTGTCATTTGCCACCCCCATAGGAGGACATTCGCGAGGAGGTGGACACGTTCATGTTCGAGGGCCATGACACCACCTCGGCTGCCATTTCCTGGACCCTGTTCCTGCTCGGCTGCCATCCGGAGTACCAGGAGCAGGTGGCGGAGGAGCTTGACTCAATATTCGGGGACGACAAGGAGACGCCCGCCACCATGAAGAACCTCATGGACATGCGCTATCTGGAGTGCTGCATCAAGGACTCCCTCAGACTCTTCCCCAGTGTGCCCATGATGGCTCGCATGGTGGGCGAGGATGTGCATATCGGTAAGGCAATTACTCGCCAAGTGGTTTTGCGATCTCTGATCATCCGTTTGCAGGTGGCAAACTTGTACCTGCCGGCACTCAAGCAATCATCATGACATACGCCCTGCACCGCAATCCGCGGGTCTTCCCCAAGCCAGAACAGTTCAACCCCGACAACTTTCTGCCCGAGAACTGTGCCGGCCGGCACCCCTTCGCGTACATCCCCTTCAGCGCCGGACCCCGCAACTGCATTGGCCAGAAGTTCGCCATTCTGGAGGAGAAGGCCGTCATCTCCACGGTGCTGCGCAAGTACAAGATCGAGGCTGTCGATCGGCGCGAGGATCTCACCCTGCTGGGCGAGCTCATTCTGCGGCCCAAGGACGGGCTCCGTGTCAAGATCACGCCGCGTGCTTGAGCGCAGAGGCCCAGCACTCTATCCAAAGTATAAAACGTGTAAATAGTTAGAGATACCGTAATGTTAGGGACTAGTTTATGTTAAACTAAACGATTAATGCACAGGGTTGTGCCCTGTTTCGCTCCGTAATCTATTCAGTGTTAGGCTAAGAATAAAACTCAGTGATTGAATAATTGTATCCCGTTTATTTAAACGCGGAGCAATCCGGTATGCACAATTAAATTAATTAAAAGTAATTAAGAAAGAGTGAAATAGAAGTTGACTTCAGCGCGGTTTACATTGTAGGCGAACCAGTTGGAGTGGAAGAGGTAGTCCCCCTTGGGAAAGGGCAGGACTTCCGTAAAGTGCCGATTGATGAAGTCGATAGGAACCTTGTCCACCACAAGATCATGCTGCAAAGAAGGAAAATTTAAAAAGAAAGAGTATTGGAACATCCCCAAGGCATCTCAAGGCTCTCACATCGAAAGGGACAGGTGTGATTCATGTTGGAGTGGCTCCTGAACATATCATGAAAGTAGGCAACAACGCTATTTGAATTTCGGTTCCTTAGGAATTTGCATGCATCTATGGTAAAATTGTAGAGGAATGGCTTATAGCCGCTGAATCGCTTGAGCAGTGAAATGTTAACCTAAAATGATGGAATCATATTTCACTTGTTGCTAAACCGAATTAACATTAATATATACTAACTTTGACTTTGGTAATCGGAAGTTTATACAAATTCACTTTGAGAGACATGTACTTGTAGCTGCGATTCACCGACTTCAGATAGCAATACTCAAAATCATCGAATTCCTTGTCCAATGAAGTGCACTTGATGTTGGTAAACTCCACTGTAGAAGTGATCTAAAATATTTGATCATGGTTTATTCGATTTACAGCTCAAATTAAAAGGATACGCACTTCCCCAACTAGATGTAGAAACCAAATTAGCTGAACCAGAAGAATGAACGTGGAGCTCATTTTGAAAACGAATGAACACCGAAAGCCACTGTGATACGATTCGTATTTCGTATATAGTACAAGAGTATTTATCCCCCCAGTTGGAGCAGTTGTAAAGGTTTAGTCGGGTAATCCAATCCCACATTACGAATGCTTTATTACCCTTCCCAGCGGGCCGATATAATGTAAACTGCTACTCATAAATCATAAATTGAAGGGTATCCGCTGAACAGATTGGATATACTTAATTTATTCCACGTATTTTAGTTATCATTAGTTCATTAGTGTTCCTCTTTTCATAAATGGTCTTAGCAATTAGCAGAAATAAGAGCACTTCTGTTCGTTACGGTCCATTTGGTTTGATCAAATGATTATGTACAGACTAATATACATATGGAGCTGTTGCCTCTCTCTCAAAACTATTGGATTTAAATAGGTTGCAACAGTGTAATGACGTCACGAAAGATTAAAACTATTAAGTACTTACTTAATATGCGACTCTACTACCTCTACTACCCCCCGTACTGAGTCAGTAAATAAATTTATTAGCTTATGATTTATGTTGAATCTTAAAATATTTTAAGTTCTAAATTTTTTGGCTACATCTGCTATCTACATCTACAATGTCGATTCCACACCTGAAATGTAAATTATACATTCTACACTTTCTCCGCAAAGGTCGCGCATTGCACAGGGCAGAGTGTGTGCGAGCGAGAAAGGGAATGAGTAGCGTCAGCAGCGCCGGAGGAGGTGGGGGAAGAAACTGAAAATTAATTTATTTTTTCTGGCTATAACAATGATTCAATCTTAATCAGATTCGGCAATCTGGTAGATATGGTCATTCTCTTCGGTACTACGTTTTTACTTTTCTGGTATCTTTAAAATTGGGGCAGCCACAGATTTTCGTCCTTTGTGGTGGTGGAATGGGGCGTGGCGAAATTTTGAAATACACTTGTAGCAGTGTGATATCACAAGAGTCTGAAAACAAAACTTGGTTGCTCCAGCTCTTATAGTCTCTGAGAACTTGGCGACAAACAAGACTGACGGACAGAGAGACAGACGGACATACACTTGGTTATTGATGCTGATCAAGCTCCTCTTATGGTGTCGGAACCTTCCCCTTACACATTTTATGTTACATATTGTCTACACGATCTCTACATGTACTCTACACAAATATTTTCGTACACTTGATCACATTTAGTAGGGACACAAACCCAGCGATCAAAAAGTACCGCCAGTGCTGCCAGTTTAGCCTTTTTTTTCTTCCGAATTTAGCTTTTACTGAGTCTGATATTCCAGCAGCACTGGCTCCGCTGCGTAACTATTTTCTCTCACTAAAATCATTTCAATTGGATGATAATTAAAATTATAATAAACATTCGTGTAATATTTGCTTGCCCCCCGATTTGTTCAAGTATTTTAATGGCAATCTAGCAATCTAGCAAAATGGCCATCAACAACAAACGGCGCCATTTGGCTTGGCCCGCTTCTGCGGCTGTGTGGCTGTGTGGGTGCAGCGCAGTGCACACCCGTTTCCATATTTTCCAACATTATTTGTTTTCTTTCGATTTTTTGCAAAATGGAGCGGCGCCAGAGCTTAGTGGGAACTTAAGTGTGCTTTTGGCTTGTAATGCACAAATAAATTCCCCGTGTGCGGGCTGGGCTGCTCGGCCATTGGTTCCACAGTGTACATATATCTAAATGGATATTATGCGCACATTTCATGACGCGGACAGGCAGACGGAGGCGGAGGCAGACGAGTCACGTTAGATAGCTCAAATCGGGGCAGGAACACAGATAGCTAGATCGATAACCAGGTGAAGATAAGCATGCGAAGAGCGGCCCGGCTACTCTACACAAGGTGGGTGGGTGGGGGAGGCAAACAATCAATTAGAATGGCAAAATCTTTGTAAATGCAGTAAAAATCCACGGAACGCAAAAAGAGCTTAAAAAGTAATTCCCGAACCAGACAAGAACTGGAAAAAGGGAAGGAAAATCGCACCGCACCGTACCGTATGGCACGCAACCAAAAAATGGCGATCATTCGATAGGGATGTGGAGTGCGGCCCTGAATCATAACAATGACGATGGCGATCCAGCCAGTCCGCCGGCCTGCCAGTCTGCCAGTCTGTCATAGAGTCGGTCACGAATTGTGGCAATAAATCGATTGGAATCGCAATTGCAATTGCAATTGCAGTGTTCGTGCCTGGCAGTTGTACATTTTATGGGTTTATGGATTTACAATGCCAGCTCGACTAGATTGCTGTTTGTTCTAGTTTACTAACGGGCTTTAAAATCAATCGATCACAATTGGGGAGTGACCACAGACCGGAGATACGTACATACATACGCACGTACGTCGCTGGAGGTACAAGCGTATCTCTGGACAGTTGCAGATGGAATCTCCGGCTGGCATATGCTTCCTCCATCCACTGGCATGCGCCGCTATCCAAACACTTGAGTAATTATGCGAGCTGGCGGCGCTTTGAACCCACTCTTCAATGCAATCCAATCCAAACCAACCCAATCCAATCCTCGGTTGTCGCTTAAACGGATTGCGAGTGCGACATCAAAACAAATTGCACTCCCTCGTGGATAGCACACAAATCTGATTAGCAAAACATTTACAAACGCAAATCGCAAGTTAGCGCCGACTTTGCGTTAGGGATGAGGTTGAGGCTGAGGCTGAACCCACCCCGCATCTCATTTGATGTGTGAACTTTCAGCAGGGGCTGTGGCAGGGGCTGGGGCTGGTTGCTCGACTAATTTGATTGACGTCGTCAGCGGGCCAGGAAATTGTGGGAAAAGGAAAACAACTCTCGCGCAGAGCGGGCCACAAGTGGCACTGGGCGGGCGAGCTATGGCTGGTAGGTGGGCAGGTAGCAGCATCCCAGAAATGATATCCAAACAAACCCAATTTGGTGGGCTGCCAACGCCTTTGATAGATTAGCAGACAAAACGAAAGAGGCGCGAGACTGTGACACGTGACCCGGAGCAGGAGCAGGAGAAGGAGCACGAGCATGAGCCCGAGTGGGAGTGGGAGCAGGACCCGAAGCATGGACCAATGTCAAATTCGTATTCCATTTGGCTGGGGCATACAAAATTGATTTGCTTGTAGCACAAGTAAAATATTTGCCAGCGGCATGCAGCATCCATTAAACAGCTGCTGCTGCCCCTGCTGCTGCTTTTGTCGCTCTCGGTGTCGATGTTGGTCCTGCCTCCGTGCCAAGGACACGTGCCAGTGGTGCACTTGCCAGCGCTTCTGTCACGTGCCAGCCGGCAAATTAAACAAGGCGCAACATGGGAAGCAAAAGTTTAACAATGCAGAAAATTGAAAAACAATCAGAAGGCCGAGCCGCAGCAGCGGGAAAGAGACGACAGGCAGGCAGGCAGTGAAAGTAAAGTGGTGGCATGCCATGCAGAACCCAGAAGATACAGCATGCAGGATGCAGCGCACAGGACCCTCTCCGTCCGCCTGTTTACCCAGAGCGCGCGTCTCCTTTCGTCTCACTTTATTTGGCCATAATTAGCTTAATGCGCGCAACAAACAACCAGGCAGAGGCACTGGGGCAGGCTCGGAGACAGGGACACATCCGTGCTGGCCATGCATGTCCTTGCTGGCACTTCGCCAGGCCAGTGGCAATGCCAAAGCAAACAAATGTGGCAGCAACGTGAGGCAAGAGCAGAAGCAACAGCCAGAGCAGTCCGTAAAGTGGCTGAAAAAATAAAACCCATGGCAAACTTGGCTAGGACAAGGTGACCATCAAATACTCTTATGGCTAAAAGTTCCTTCAAAATATTATGGTACAAAATAAGAGCAGTAGACTTGCAGAACTATGGGCTACTAAGATGTAGGAGATGAAGCTAGGGGATCCATCATAAGTGGATCTCTCGTGTATCCCTGGGTAAAATATTGTATCCGTAGAATCTCCTTTGCCACAGACATTCGCATAGCAGGGGCAACCCTTGGAAGAGAGCTCGTAGAAAAACAAGAAAAAAGCAAACAGAATGCACGGAAAAAATTAAAATCATTAATCCCCTTAAAAGGTTCTTAATCTGTGGCTGCTGCTGCTGAATTTTGTTGCTTCATTTGCCTCGCAGTCCGCCTCCCACCCAGCCTGTCTGCTGCTGTTGAGTTTGACTCCGGGTTTGGTTTTTCCGCTTCGACATTACTCATACGCAGTGTGACCACTGAGGGTGCCAGGGTCCGTGTCGGGTGCTCTCCCCTATCGCCTATCAGCTCTTGGTTCTATGTCTTGTGACCCCTTCTTTGTTGGTGCCAGAGGAGCTGTCAATGAAGTGTCCGGCGGCCGTCAACGCCGTCGCCCATGCGACATCATCATATGACCAGTGTGAGTCAGTGAATCAGCTGCCAAATTTGATTTGTGCTTTGGCCAACAAATGCTTTAATGAGACTCTAGGGTGGGAGGGGACTGGGCTCCGAGTTCCGAGTTCGATCTCCGCCAAAACGATGACGATGACCCTGGGGCCTCTGTCTCTGTCTCCGTCTCTGTCAGCCACTGCGATCGTAAATTGAGCAAACATTTGTGGTTTGCTCTGGCTGATTGCGTGCACTGCAATGCAAGTTTTATGGCACTCTCCGTGCGATGATACGAGTGTGCGAGTGGTACTGCCAGCCTGTGGGTTCGAGTGCCCAGCGAGGGCAAACAGTTCGCTTTATGACATGACAGGGAAACTCTCCGCCGATGGCCATGCAAAAACTGTCGTAATCAGTCGCCTCGCAAAATGTAAATAATTTCACTCCCAACTGAACTAAACGATCAGAATGGAAAGAGCCTGAGGCTGAAACAGAAACCTCAAACCTCAAACCTGAAACCTGACACAAATAAAATAATAAATTTTATACGAAATTGACAAGCTGGCTTAGCCGCTGCTGATAG